TAAGTTCATACACGTAGACGCCGTCTGGAAGGAAAGCAGCAGTCACACAGCGCTCTGGATGAAACAGCACCGGTCTTTTTCTTTCCTAGCACTTAATGTTTTTACAAGGCAGCAGACAAAGACTGCAGTTATTTGAAATGCAGGCTTCAAACAACTCTTGACATAATTTTCCAACAAAAAGAGGATTCAGCTCTCTTGTCTGCTGAGGGGAGGTGGGTACCACTAATGAAACACACTGCACAAAACTCACTTTTCTGTTCCATGAAAGGCTCCATGTCAAGCAGCTCAGAGAAGCCAATGTAGGTGTTCAGCTTTTTCTTATGGCCAGTTTGTCTGTGTGGAGGCAAAGCTTCAGTTCAGGGGAGAGCAGTAACAGCTCACACCTCAAAATAACTCCTTGAAACCCACCCAGCATCCCCAGAGAAGCTCATGCAAGCAGTCAATCCTCAGTCTCTTAAATTAATGCAGACAGAGTAGATGACTTCCCAGGGAGCTTCCATACAACCCAGGGCACTCCCGCTTTCCCAGCACACACTGCAGTGAGGGCTTACCTGTCAAACACAAAACGCATCAGCTGCAGGTTGAGCGTGCAGGGAAGACTCAGTAGCCTGATCTTCCTCGTGGCATTCTGCTTACTCTGACAAGTTTCACAAAAATAACGATTGTCCCCTTCTAATTTTTCTTCCTGAGCAGGGAGGGGAGGCAGAAAGAAAAGTCTTGAGAAGAGGTTACCACTGCAGAGTCAAAAGCTACTCAACAGCTGGAGACTGAAAAGCACCGAAGTTATTTTAACCATTTAAGTCTCTATCCAGCTGCTTTCCAAAATAATCTCCTAGTTAAAAATGCACACTAATAAATGTATTTTATCACATGGCCATAATAGGTGGCTCTCACTTTAAATTTTAGACCACCTCAAGCCCTATTCCTCAGGTTGCTTAAGCAGGTTTGCTCCCTGCTTGACTGAGCTGGTTTATACCAACGAGGGCTATGGAAAAAGAAAATCATCCATTTATGAGCTCACGTGGACCAAGTTAATGTAAAGCCACATTTTAACCTGGAAACTACTTTTGCTCAGCCACACAAACATCACCATGTAAGAGCCACTGTCTACACCCAAGTTGATCCAGTGGCAGGATTAGGCCAGAGAACTCCAACTGCCCTAAACAAGGTCACTGGGTTGTTTCAGTTGCAGGAGGAGCAGACAAACTTGAAGTTCACCATTTCAGGGTTTTAATGCGCGTCCACAAACCAGTCTTTTTTCATAGCAGGCCTTCTGCAAGCCGAGCAACCGGTTTGCTGAGCACATCAGCGGAGCCGCTGCCCAACAGCCAGACAGCTCAGGTAGAGAGTCACGTTTCAGGTTAGTTCTGTCCTAAATATTTTTAGTTGAATCCACACCCCGAACCTTTAACAAGCCAGATCTTAACTTAAGATCTAGGCAAATCTTCAAGTTGAATTAAGAACACTTGCAGCTGTTCCTGCAGCTATTCCCAGCCCTCCCTAGTATTTCTGAGAGCACATCATATAGTGGGGAATGTCTCCTGTTGCTATGCAGATGAGCACGGACACAGGAAACACAAAAAGCAGCCATTCTCCCGGTGCTATCCATAACAAAGCACACAGGGACTTTTTCCCCAACTTTGATGGGAAAGTATTTTAACTGCGCATTGGACCTTCAAGTACTTTTTAAAGCACATGCTCATGTGCTAAGCTCTGGTCCAGAGTAAAAAACATTTCCTATTGGATGCATCTCAGTGAGACAACTCAGTTGCTTCACTCCAAGGCTGTTAAGTGAAGGAAGGAAGGAATTAAAACACCTTGCTAAGAATAGCAGGACTCAAAAACCAACAAGCTCGTACCTTAAGAAATTCCGTTATACAGTCTGTCAACTGCTTGTGCCCTTGGATGTTTAACTCCAGCTCATAAAATTTAGACACGAGTTTGGACTCCCTGCCACACTGATTGCAAAAAAAAAAAAAAAAAAAAAAAAAAGACAAAATCACATGAGGACAGGTCACTGGTTCATGTGTCTGAATTCCCCAGCCACTAGTAAACTGCTCCTTGAGCTAGAAAACCAGGAGAAAAAAGTCAGAGTTAATGCAGTTCAAACCTCTACACCACAACAACTCTGCAAGAAGGTGTAAATAGGTTAATAGCATTTACCACGAAAAACAGGAGCACCTGCTTACAACTAGCATACACCACTTTATGTCACTTTTGAGGTGAAATCCATAGCTCTGAGAACACAGGAATGAAAATATGACACCTGAGTATGCTATTTTTTGGCTACAGGACTTTACGTTCCATCAACTCACTTGCAGGTTTAATTGTTAAATTTTCATTAAGGGGTTAAACGCAACTGGAGAACTGCAACACCACGTGCGCAGAATCAGGAAACCTAAAAGCTAAAGAAACTCTTATAAATTGTTTCAGTAGAAGCTTACCTGCCTGCTCCAGATCCTCCCCCCTTAAATTCTTCTAAAATGTGTAAATATTTACAGAAAGGTTCTTCCTGAAGACCAAATACTTACACCGTGACATAGGCATACTCTCCACAGAACTGCTTTTGCACTATGTTTCGAACATCTGGGTTTTTTTGTTTGGATAAAGTATCTTCCAGCAGTGACATGAACAGCTTTGAAAACTCTTGGGCATCCTAGAAAAGAAAGCCAAGTCCGTTAACAATACACCACATCACAAAGCCCAATCACAACCTTGTCGCTAATTTACTGCAAATTACCCGGAACCCTACACACAGGCTGCACGGAGGCTCCTGCGTGCACTGAATAGAAAAAAAGACCAGTCAGGAGAACTAAAGAAAAAGAGGAATTTGCCTAAAAGGAGTGCGAGGCCCCCAGCGTGAGACCACGGCGGGAGTTAACCTGGCTCCCAGCCAGCCACGCCGGGTGGTTTGACTTCTGCCCCGCTCCTCGCAGGGCTCTGGAAGAAATAAAAAAAAAAACCACTCCTGCAGAGCTTCCTATCCCATTAACGCTTGTTTTTCAAAGCTCAGTACGCAATTCAAGCTGGCCCTGCTTGTGTTAAGAGGTAAGGAAAAAAAAAAAAAAAAGCCTCCCCCAAAATGACAAACTGCCTTATGGATTTGTCCCCTTCTGCAAGGCTTGGGAGCTTCCCCACACTCATCTCAGGGCCTTCCTCTCCCACCCTGGCTCTCCTTTGCTCTGCTCTTCTGAAAACAAACAGGCTTTGGCCTCTCCCAGCTGTCCTTTAGTATCACTGGTTGGTAGTGACCGCTTCCTTCCCCTCCCGCATCCTCCCAAGGAAATGCATGCTGGTGGTCAGGCTCTTCCTCCAATAATCTCCCTCTTCTCAAAGTGTATTTTCAAGCCGTGCCCCTCTCCCGAGTCCTCTTCAGAGCCCATCTGCAGCACTCCCCCCTCTCTAACCATGTTTTCTCTGCCCCACACGTTCACATTAAACCTTGTCTGGCTCCTGGTGACCCAACAGAACATCTTCTCACCTTGCAAGGGCCTTTCAACCCCTGCTAAACCACCCACCTGGAGGAGCAGCCTATAAAACAGCCACAAAAGGACCTTCATGGCAGATTCAGCTCCCACCCCGCACAGTGCCGGGGTCGATCAGGCACTAACACCTCTCCCATCCCTAGCCCTTTTCTCCCTGAGCTCCTCCCGATCTCCCACACGGACAGGAAGGGCCCGCAGCCACCGTCTCTCCCTGTTGTGTTTGTACCAAGCAGCAGAACCCAACTCAGAGATGCTAAAACAACATAAAAGGGCAGTTTCATGCTGCTTTAAAGAAGGTAATTACTTGAGGAGCACGCCTCAAACCTACCTGCTGCTGCCCGGTGTCCAAGCCCAGTGCTCTGACAAAGCCAGAGGGATCGATATATCGCCTCTTGCTGTTCTGCAGCAAGGCAAACAAGTACTGGAGGTGTTCACAAATGGTCTGAGGTTCATAGTCTATTAAAAACAACAAGTTGCACAGGTTACAGCAAGTAATTTCAAGCAAGAGATAATTGTTCCGAGTAATTTGCTCATTCTTCCTTCATACGGGTAAATTTAACGATCAGAAACGGTATGTTTTTCAAAGCTGTTTTAAAATATCATGAGCTCTGAAGAGGTTCATGTCAGTGACGACAGCAAAGTCTTAGCACAGGCCAAATAAAGAATCATTTAGGTCAGAGAAGACCCTTAAGGTCACCAAGTGCAACTGTAAGTATCGCACAGTGCCAAGCATGATCTGGAAGTGAAGGGTTTAAGCAGCGTGCACTGATTACCCTGTAGCAACAGCTTATTTTTTACCCAAAATGGTGAAACGTCATTTAAAAATACATAAAAACTGGAACAGAAAAAGTCAGGGGGCCACTCTGACCCAGAGCGCACCTATAGCGCCATACCATACCTCACTAGAGGCTGTAATGTCCACTGTGCAGGCAATTGGGAGCCTCACTCATACTGGGGACCTAAATTTTCATCCTCCTCTGGGATGAGTGTGGCCCCACAGTAGCGCAGACCAGCCCCAACCCACAGGCTTCCACCATCATTAAAGTGGGAACCAGTGTGGGGAGCAGTCCGACAAGAAACAAACCCAAATCGGATTTTTCAAGCAGATCAGATCACTCCCGATTTAAGAAACAACTTGGATAAAGGTTAGTTCATTCCCAAAAGCTGGGTGAGGGACTCAAAAACAATGGTTGGGACATTGGATAAGCGACTGTAGCTTCACCCATCAACTCTCCCAATAAATATTATCCCAAAGCTAATGCCAGCATAAAAAATTTTAGGAGAAAATGAGGAAAACCACTGCTATTTGCAGCTGATGACTTTTCACCCACCTTTGTCTTTTGGGATGCCCTCTCCGGCCACATACTCGCTGCAGGTGCTGGGACACAAGTAGAGAGCTTGCCGGAGCTCCAAGTTAAGAAACCACATCTGCAAGAAAGTGTTCACGTAGCACGTGGCGCCGAGGTTCGTTAAGCCCACGAACGCGTTCTGGCGTAAGAGAGAAAGCAACAGTCGTCACTCGTCGCTGTGGAGGAGCAAGCAGAAATCCAGCAGTTGGGGCGGCCACTTTAAGGCTGTTTTGTCGGAAAAACGCTGCTCCGGCAACGTACAAATAGCCACATCCCAAACACCCTGGCTACAGGAGGGACACGAGGTGTCACCTCGCCTCATCCCCATCTTCCCCTGGGGACCAGGAAGGGCAGGGGATGCTTCTGAAGGGAGTGATACCTTCTTACGGCGCTCGTAGTTGGGGTCATCGATGTTGTGGAAGCTGTTCTCGTCTATCTCTCCCAGCCAGACGTGCTCCCCGATGCCCACCAGGCAGTTGGGGTTCCCCCGGCAGTTCCTCCTGTAGAGCCAGCACCCGCCCCAAACTGTCACCCCTGCGGAAGGGACACTTTTGTCCCTTGGAGGGGTGTAATCGTGGGGGATGAGGACAACGAGGGGGACCCCGTAATGTTAAACAGAGCGACCAGCGTGAGACACAGGTCCCCCCCTAAACAGTGGTTATGGGTGAACAAGGAGATGGAGGACTTGGGGGGAGGGGAAAGGGGATCCCAGGTAAGAGTACAGGACCCAGGGAGGTCCCCTACATCTGGGGAGACAGGCAGGGAGAAGGGGGTCCCACACCACCCCAGGGAGGCCCCCTGTATCTGAGGAGTCAGACAAGAAGAGGGGAGTCCCCTACAACCCCGGGGAGATCCCCTACATCTGGGGAGACAGGCAGGGAGAGGGGGGACCCCTACATCTAGGAAACCAGGCAGGGAGAGAGATCACCCACAACCCTGGGGCATGGGGGCCCCAAAAAAGCGAATATGAGGGGTCCCCACCGACCCTGAGGGACCCATAAAGCGCAGCGTGCTTCCCCAACCTCACGGGAGGGAGGAGGAACGTGGGGTCCCCCCAGCCCCGGGGGGCGAGGACCCCAGAGAAGGGACGGGGGGAGCCCCCAGACCCCAAATAGGGAGGTGGAGGAGAGGTTTGGAGTCCCCTACAGTCCTGAGGAAGCAGGTATGGGGCGGGAGGGAGGCAGCGGGACGCCCCGCGAGGAGAGAGGGCCCGGGGGG